CACTGCGGAAGGAAGACGAAACATCAACTAACCCGCAAATAGCTCTGAAAGTGGCAGATAAAATTGGGGTATGCCAAGCGACAGTGTACAATGTTTTGAACGAACATAAGAAAAAGCATGCCTTTTCCAAGCCAATGACGCGTAAAAATCGCAAAAGTATGGGGTTGTCCAAAACGGACGCAGGAAAGTAAACGCATATTAAAACAAGAAAGATTGATATTCAAATCAAGTTGGGTACTTTATTTTGAAGGTTCATTTATACCATTTATGTATGAAAAATAATATCGCTCAAATGTTCACCACGACTGGATTTACAGACGTCCACGCGATGGTCGAAATTTTCAATGACATTTTGCCACATGGTCGGTTCTATGGCATTTATCTCGGCAATAATGTTGTTTTTGAGTTCTTGGAGGGTGGCTGGTTTGTTGATATAGACTTTGCTTTTCAAATATCCCCATAAAAAGAAGTCCAAGGGAGTCAAATCGCACGATCTTGGTGGCCATGGCACATTTCCTCTGCGCGAAATCACGCGATCACCGAAGAAGGACTGCAATCGATGGATATTGACGTCGGTTGTGTGGCATGTTGCACCGTCTTGTTGGAAATAAACATCGTCCATATCCATTCCTTCAAGTTGCGGTAAAAAATAGTCCTCTATCATCACGTGATATCGCTCAGAATTGACGGTAACGGCGTCCCCGGCCGCATTTTCGAAAAAGTAAGGTCCGATGATGCCTTTTGACCACAATGCGGCTGCTCTTGATACTCACGGGGATTTTCGTTCGCCCAGATGCGGCAGTTTTGCTTGTTTACCGTCCCATTCAAAGTGAAATGCGCTTCGTCACTGAAAATGATTTTTGATGAAAAATTGGCAGCAGTTTGGCGGTGTTCAAGGAGCCAATCTGAGAACGTTCGGCGCGAAAAATGGTCGGCCCGACGCAGCTCTTGCGCCAATTGGATCTTGTAGGCGTGTACATTCAAATCCTTGTGGAGACTGCGGAGCAAACTGGTTCTCGAAATGCCCAATTCTTGGGATCGACGCGTTGTTGATTGTTTCGGATCATCTCTCAGACTCTCCTTCACAACAGCAATATTTTCCGGTGTGCGAACGCTCCTTGGCCGGCCAGAGCCTGGCAGATTTGTCACAGAACCTGTTGCCTCGAATTTACGCACCAGACGACCGATGGTTGTTTCGTTTGGGCGGTTGTTGCAACCGAAATGTTCACGAAGCGCGCGAAACGTGTTTTTTATTTTTGCACCATCTTTGTAGTGCTCTTGAATAACTTTAATGGGTCTTCAATCGAATACGACTCCATAGCGATCAATGGTAAACATTTAACTAACAAAATGACATGTCGGTGACAGAAAACAAAGATGGCGTCTATGTCAAATTGACGTTTACTTTCCTGCGTCCCTATTGGACAACCCACTATAATAAGATCGTTGGATGGCGCTGACAAGCATGCGATTCGGAGGAAAGTGCACGAGTTCTTCTTCAGAAACGAAATACTGACAGTTGATAAAGTACTACGGGAGGTTAACGAGGATGCCATGTTACCAAATTTCAAACGTTCTACTATTCATAAACTTTTGAAGCATCTTAATTTCGAATCGAAGAAACGAGGTCGTAACAGCTTACTTATGGATAGAGAAGAAATTGTTCTGTGGATGAGAGAGTACCTGACCAAAATTAAATCATTCAGGGATCAGCACAGGAAGATCTATTACCTGGACGAAACCTGGATTAACGCTGGGCACACTACTCCGAAGGTATGGGTTGACAAAACTGTGACTTCATCCAGAAGGGCATTTCTAGATGGACTGTCGACAGGATTGAAAAATCCAGCAGGTAAATAGATCGAAGTAGTTCCCGGTATCAATTTTTGCGCACAATATCTCTCTATCTTCGTACCTTCAAGACGTGCATGTGTACTTAGCGGATTTTATCTTTCTAGGCAAGGGAAAAAGGCTCATTATTTGCCACATTGGGGGAGTAGATGGCTTCGTGGATGACGGCTTATGGTCTTTTGAGTCAAAAAAAAACCACTGACTACCAAGGCGATTACGGCGGTGTTCTCGAGTTAAAGGGAGGACCCAGTGTGGCCTGTACGAAAACAAGCCAAATCTTCTCATTCGTCGGTAAACACTTCGCATGCCAATAGGTCATTCATTTGCAATGGACCTGGTAGTGGAGAAACGGTCCCTTAAGGCCAATAATCTTAGGCGGCGATCTTCACGGTCTGTTGTTTTACGGCGGCGTCCAGTGCCCCTTGCTCTTGGCGTACGGCCTTCTCGAAGCCATGCCTGACAAAACCTAACCACAGTGTCTACACTTCTTTGCACTCTAACTGCAATTGCCCGAAAAGAAAGTCTAGCTTCCCGAAGTCCCACTATACGGCCCCTATCAAATTCATCACCCCAAATTACCAAGCTGTGAAAACAGGAGATCAAAATGTGAGTTTTGAGGAACGGGTGTTGATTGCGTGGATTTCGAAGTCAGTTTGACGCTACAAGCCACGAATCCCGCAAGCAGCCCATTTTTTCTCAAATTTGGCGCCTCCACAATTCACAATTTTTAACGGTCTTTAGCGCTCCAATTATCTTTATACATATAGCAATAACGGCAGACAAAGATACAAATATTTTGGTCCTGTTGACCCTTTTTTGTTCGAAAAGCGTCAGTTTTTACTGTAGTTCTCTTCACGGCTTTTTGCGGTTACGTCACAATGTCATACGAAATAAGAGAAGAGACTGACTAATGGTAGCATGTGAGTAGCTTAACTTGAGGTAAATGGCACACTGCGCAACCCTATTCGTAGCTCAGCTGCTACTCGCTCTTGCACACACACATGCATTTTATTCACTTTCTGAAAATACTTCTAATACAGACTGTCAACTTTGTAGTTGTATCTTCATGCTCCAACTATATTTTATATAGCAGATCAACTTGGGCAAGCGCAAGTCACGTGCCCATCACAAGCGAGTTGTCATACTGACAGTGCCAGGTATAAGTTTGGAAGACTCATACGGTGACTGGGAAATTTTCATGGTAGTGGGAAAAAAATGAAGAACGTATGTCTCTGAATCCACACAAACAAACGTCTGCGCAAAGAAGCCGATTACATATGTATGTGTGAGGGAGATAGATATATGAAAATAATTCCTGTAGCTTCCCCGTAACAATAAATCCAAAAGTGGATAGTGTGCGAGATACAAGGTGTTAAAGTTACAAATTATTTTCGATTTTTCCTTATTGCTTGAGATGAATTTTAGGTGTTGGCATAAAACTGAGTATAGGCAGGTTTTCTAATATGAGAAACAAGAATCCGTTATTTTGTATGGCCAAACATCGCGAGGGCGCCACTTACAGCACTATTTCGGTAAATAACTTATCATAACTTTTTTGTGCTACCCTGCATACAAAAACTGACTGTTCCAATGTTCCAATGCATCATTTTTACCATGATGATAAAACATTTTTATAACATAATAATCAAGTTGCTTTGGATAATATTTGAGTAGCATTGCTATGGTTTCTAATGTTTGTCTTAATATTGCTTTAAACTTCATGATTAACTTTAAGTTGACAATAAGTTGTTAACTATCAAGGAGTATACGTTTGATGAATATTCTGATATGCATTTAATGTACGGATTGGCAAAATGTAATGCTTTAAAAGCACGAAGATTGTACGCTGACAGATTCCCTAATAGGCACCTGCCTAATTCGAAGACTTTCCAACGAATCGGTCAGCGGTTACGAGAAACTGGTAAAAAATGATTATAGCCTTATTTTAAGCAGTAAAAGCCATTTGGATTTTAGGTAGTTTTGCTCAAAATATGGGCCGACATAGTGGAGCTCCCAGAACTGTACATACAGCTGAACTTGAAGAAAATTTTTTTGAGAATCCAACAATTGGGGTTAGGAATGTAGCTCGAGAATGTCAAGTTTCCAAATGTACAGTAAATACTATTTTTCAAGAGCAACTGCAGGAAGTTTAACCACGACAATGGTTTTACTTCGTTAATATTATTTTTGGACGAAGCAGGATTTGGAAGGCATGGGCCCATTAACTCGCATAATCATCACATTTATGCAGACGAAAATCCTCATTCAATAATACAAACCCGCCACCAAGTACAATTTCAAATTAGTTTATGGACAGAAATAATTGGAAAATATTTACTCGTAATAGGACCCGTTGAGGTGGTAACCTAGACTAAATGGCCGAAGGCATTTACAATTTCTTGAAGAACAATTACCCACTCTGCTGGAAGATCTTCCATTAAGGTACGTTTACATCTGACACATATTGTATGATATTTATCTAAGAGCATCTGACATAAGTAGCATTAAATGTTTACATTATTAGAAATTTATAACATATACTTATGTAGGAGATCGCATATATTCCAAGAACTTGCAATAAATGTACATCAAAGTGTAGCTCAGTTTAGACTAGACGGTGTCTCGGTATAGTGGATATCTATACGATGAAAATATCGAAAAGGAAATGTGCTGCTATTGTAATTATTATGAATAGGTTAAAAAATAGAAATAAGAAAAAACGAGCTGTGTGGGTTCGAGAATGGATTTTAAGACGTGAAGAACATGGTGCATACAGCCAGTTAATGCGTGAGCTCAGTGCCGAAGATCCATCACAATTTTGAAACTTCATTCGAACAAAATTATCTGATTTTGAAATTTTGGCTAATAAAATAGCGCCTTTTGCATCGAAACAAGATACCAAGTTCAGAAAAGCTATCAGTATGCGCGAGAGACTTGCTGTAACATTAAGATTCTTGGCGTCTGGTAAGTAAATCACAAATGTACTATACAAATTAAGTTTACCTTCTAAGAATCAAAATTTAACAATAATATTATTTGCAGGTGACTCTTATACCAGCTTGAGTTACTTATTTAGAATACCGAAGTGCACAATAAGTTTAATTATTCCGGAAGTATGTAGAGCAATATTTCAAGTACTGAAAGGCGAATATATGAAAGTAAGTTTTTAATTTTAGAAAAACAACATTACAAATTTACATCACTACTCTCAGTTTCTGTGTGCAAGTACTGTGCTACAGATTGTGAAAAATTCTGTTGACTAGACTGTTCTGAATGTTCAGTAGAAGCAGAATATGAGCTCACTGAACTGGGATTAGTATAGATAACGGAATTTAGTCGATCTTCTTCCTCACTTATTTCTAATATGGCTTGTTGAAATTTTCTTTTTAATTTCCTACTTAAATAATCGGATGAAAGGCTCTCAGTTCAGTTGCAATGTATACTAAGTGACATATAAATCCGCACACCCAGTTTAAATGGTTTTATTTTAATAAAATTTTGTAGAAGTACTTAATGAAGCATAATAAGTAAATGATAAAAATTTCAAAATGATTGCACTGCTTTAAAGCCCTTTGACCTTTAATAATATGTCGATGCACCCTGATGTGCTACGCATTCTCCAACGCGCCTAGGCATGCTTCTGGTCAGGTGGCCAATGCCCTCCTGTGGTATCTCATTTCAGGCAACCACCAACTCCTCTCGAAGTGCTTCTAGAGTCTGAGGAGGACGTTGCAAATTGAGCAATCTCCTACCCATCATATCCCACACGTGCTCAATTGGGGATAAGTCGGGAGATCTTGGTGGCCATGGTAACAATGTGACATCATTATGTTGAAAGAAGTCTATTGTGACTCTTGCAACATGTGGTCGGGCATTATCTTGTTGGAAAGTTGGATCTGCCAGGGTGTCAAGATAGGGTAAAAGATGGGGTTCTAGAACTTCGTGGATGTAACGCTGCGCGTTCATGTTACCTCTGATGAAGATTAAAGGTGACCTGGAACCATAAGCTATGGCACCCCAAACCATAACTCCAACAGTGTGATGAACATGTCTTTCAACAAAAAACTGTGGATTCCTCCTTTCACCACGTCGCCTTCTAACCCTGGCACGACCATCGTGCATGCCTAAACAAAATCGAGACTCGTCACTAAAGACAATACTGTTCCTTCCCTGATCCCAGAGTGACCGTTGTCTGCACCACTCAAGGCGATTACGTCGGTGTTCTCGAGTTAAAGGGACGACCCAGTGTGGCCGGTACGAAAACAAGCCAAAACTTCTCATTCATCGGTAAACACTTCGCATGCCAATAGGTCTTCCGTGTTCTGCAAACCATTCATTTGCAATGGACCTGGTAGTGGAGAAACGGTCCCTTAAGGCCAATAATCTTCACGGTCTGTTGTTCTACGGCGGCGTCCAGTGCCCCTTGCTCTTGGCGTACGGCCTTCTCGAAGCCATGCCTGACAACACCTAACCACAGTGTCTACACTTCTTTGCACTCTAACTGCAATTGCCCGAAAAGAAAGTCCAGCTTCCCGAAGTCCCACTATACGGCCCCTATCAAACTCACTAAGTTGACGAAATCGTACAGGTCTCCGTACTCTAGGCATCGTAACCGATCGTAAAGGATGTCAAGAACCAAAATAAGCCAACGTTGATTCTTTACTGCGGCTGCAATATTCATTTTTAGAGCGTTAGTGAATTAAAAAAAAGCAGTATAAAAACCGGAATGTCCAACTGATAAGGCTGAAAATTTTTTCACTTGTTATTTACAGTAAGATAAATACATTCACCAACTTTTATTAAAATAAAACCATCTAAACTGGGTGTTCGGATTTATATGTCACTTAGTATATTTCCCAAATACATCGTATTGATCCTCTTCTTCATGCAAAACGTGTACAGCTTTTTGCATGAGCAAATCACTTTCTTTTAAATTATTAGATTTCTTTTTCTTTCTAGAATTCTGTTGAGTTTCTTGATTTGTAGGTTTAATATTATTAACAGTATTTACTTCAGAATGCTCAAGTGACAGATCTTGACTGTCGTCTTGTATTTGCATTTCATTTTCACTCGTCTCCACATCATCCTAGAAAACAATAGATTTTAAATTCCTGGATGTCATAAACCTTATTTATTTCATACTGTAATAGAAAATAAAATCGAGCCCGGTAAAAAAGAATCCGGCTTAGTTCGATAAGATTTTTTACGGGACTGACATTTGAGAAACGTTCATTGTTTCGGAATTTTTTATTCATGCTGTAAAAGTTCACGTTTCGGATTTATAACCTACATATCTATTAAATACTAGTTTATATTTTAGGCACCAAATACACCAGAAGAATGGCAGAGGATTTGCAAGAAATTTGAATTAAAATGGAATTTCCCAAATTGTTTGGTGGCTATCGACGGCAAACATGTCGTTATCCAAGCGCCTCAGAACAGGGGTAGCTGTTACTTCAACTATAAGGGACAACATAGCACTGTTTTCATAGCAGTTGTTGATGCTGACTATAAATTCCTCATCGCCACAATTGGTTTGAATGAAAGAATTTCCGATGAGGGAGTTTTTACAGCTAGCGGAGTTTCCCATTTTATAAAAGCGGAAGTAAATAAATTAGAGAAATCGGCACTTCCAGGAAGAGTATCACGTCTGCCACCTGTTTTTGTAGGTGACGATGCGTTTCCTTAGCAACCACATATAATGAAACCTTATCCATTCAACAGTCAAGGTTCTATGAGAATTTATAATTATAGACTTTCCAGAGCAAGAAAAATCGTGGAAAATGCTTTTGGTATTATGTCAAGTGTATTCAGAATATTTAGGACACCAATTCTTCTTGCTCCAGAACGCGTCGATTCAATTGTTTTGGCCGCTTGCTGTTTGCATAATTATTTATTATCTCAAAAATCCTCAGCAATGATATATGCTCCCGAAGGTACATTTGATCGAGAAAACCCTGACACCGGTGAGCTAATACCGGGAAGTTGGAGGCACGAAGATAAACCGCAAAATTTGTTGCCGTTGACGCAACAGGGTTTTTTTTATGCTCCAACTACCACAAAGGCCTAAGGCCTAAGCACCCATTGGGTACCGTGGGGCTATAGGGGGATACATGGGAAAAGGGGGGACGCCACACGGACTCTGGCGAGGGAACACGTGTGCATGCAACATGCACACATTCTGGCTCCGCCTACGAGAACCGCCGGGTGGTACCTCCGCGTTCGACAGTCAGAGACCATCTACCACCTACGGACAATCACAACATCCATAGCCAAGAGAAAAATTTCTCCTGGGACGAGACTCGAACCCGCACAGCGCACGGCGACTGATCAGGAGACCGAAGAGTCTACTACTGCGGCCACCGCTGCTGCCTAAAACAAACACACAACATACATGGCGAGATTCGAACTCGCGGCCCGACCGGCCGGCTGATCAGTAGCACGACACTCTGACCCACGCGGCCAACCGAGGTCCCAGTAGTAATAACTATACGAATAACGCAAGAGAAATTAGAGAAGAGTTTAGAGAGTATTTTGTTAGCCCTCAATGAGAAGTTCCTTGGCAAAATAAGTTAATCTAAGGTTAATATGAAACAGGTACCCTGGCCTGATTTTTTCTTAGTAGTTTTTTAAATTCGCTGTTGAATTGATTCCTTAAGTTATGAATTTTTCTGGTTATTTCATCCACAGTGGTTCCAAATTTATCAGCAAGCTCACTTAGTGCATTTCGTTTTTTCACTCTACCTTTATAGATTTTACATTTAACATCCCAGAGTTCTGATTTATCGCGGTACATATTAATTGACTCATCGATTTTACTTTTCAGCCATTCTTTCTTATCACCCATCGTGTATATGCGAGAATAAATTTCTGGACACTTCTTCAAAAGTAGACGACTGGTCAACTAGCCCGATTTATTTCCGGCGAGTCAAGACTTGTAAAACCTCAATGTTTACATTAATCGTATAGATATCTCGACACATATTACCAAAGACGTATACATATATGTCAGACATAAATTTTTGGTCGTTTACATTAGTCAGAACTAGTGTCTGACATAAATATCATGTAATATATGTCAGATGTAAACGTACCTTTACAAACACGCATGAATATGTGGTTTATGCACGACAACGCTCCACCTCATTTTAGTATATTAGTTAGAGAGCACCTAAAGAGAGTTTATCCAGACCAGTGGATAGGCCGATCGGGACCTGTATCGTGACCGGCTAGATCACCAGATTTAAATCCTATGGATTTCTTCTTCTGGGGTGATTTAAAACGACGCGTGTACAATACGCCAGTGGAAACTGTGGATGATCTTCGACAAAGAATTTTACACCATAGCTAAGAAGTGAAAAATAATATCCAAATGCTTTGGAGAGTTCACGCAAGGATTAGTTCGTCGAGCTCGAGAGTGTGTTAGGCAAGGTCGTGCTCATTTTGAACAATTTTTGTTGTTATTATTCCCGTTTATTAGTTTTGTTGCCATCCTCATTTATTATTGTTAAAAACCATAGCAACGCTACTCAGATATTATCCAAAGCAACTTGATTATTATGTTATCAAAATGTTTTATCATCATGGTACAAATAATGCATTGGGACTTTTAAAAACAAATATCTCGAAAACTATTAGCTTCAGAAAATAAGATTTTTTGGTCAGTTGTTGTATACAGAGTAGATCAAAAAAGTTATGATAAGTTATTTACCGAAATAGTGTTGTAAGTGGCGCCCTCTAGAAGTTTGGCCATAAAAACAGTGGATTCTTGTTTCTCAAAATATATAAAGCTTTATGCCAAGATCTGAAATACTTCTCAAGCAATAAGGAAAAATATAAAATAAGATTGTAACTTTGACACCTTGTATCTCGCAAACTATCAACTTTTGAAGGTATGTTTAGGTCAATTCACATTTTTTGGTCTGTAGTATCTCCAGTTTCGAGATTTTCCAACTCTTCGCAGATACCCTGTATAATTATTAAAGACCTACCAGCAAGCATTTTTCTACCATAGGGTGGAAGTCAGTTAGAAAAAGTACATAGCCCCCAACGTGTCCAAATAGCAAATAAAAGAGCACTCCAGATGACTCTAAGAGCTCTGTTGTATACCCACATCTACAAATTTGGTCCAACGCCAACGTTTTGAAGATCCAAGAAATGGAAAATTTTGCAGTATCTTGCCCAAATTGTGTAGCACTCTCATCATTTTTCTAAGTATGTTACTAGGTAGTCACTTCCGAAATAGTATGCCATTATAAAATATCTGCGTCAGATTCGGTTATTTACCTAATTTTATTTCATCTAATTTTACTGTTCTCACAGCTGGAGGCAAATCACCTCGAATTTTGGTGTATAAGCAACTGGAAATTAAATTTCCTGGAAATAATCTGAGCTTACCTGTTTATAACTAATATGAAAGAGGTAACGAAATTTGAAAATACAATCACATCTTTGAGAAGTTAGGGCTTTCTTCTCGTGCTGAACAGAACAAACTGTGTGACACATCCATGTTTTTCAAACATACATGACAATATTTTATAAATAACGATGACATGGAGCATACAAAAGCTGTTCTTCTCTGTATAATTGATAAAATATTATGGATATACAGGGTGACATGTAATGTCACGTATTCCTGTTAAGGGGTGATATATTAGGTCAAAAGCAACCGATTTTGTCCTATCATGTCTTATCCAAAAGTTAACCATTTTTGCGTTATTTGAATTTTAAGTTTTTAATTTTTTATTCCGATTTCAGACGGTTAAAATTGAAATACAAAAAAACTGCATGCTTGATTTTGAGTTTTTTGTTATCGTCGCATAGCAGACATTCCAATAGTTCATAATAAGTAATAAAATGTTAAAAAAATGCAATTTTCTGTAAAAAATCTCCTAGTAATGAAATGTGCAAATTATGTAAATAATATCTCTATCTAACAAGCTTTCATTTGAGGTATTAAGCGTTCAGTTATCTGAAGTACATGCAGAGAAACAACAATGACACCCACAGAGGCTGGATTTTTAAGGAATTTGTATTACCTGTTTGAACAAGTCGTTACTGTCCTCAAAGGACTCGCAAGCCATGATTGTTTTATGGCATCGGCTTGACGAGGAAACGAGCGAGAAGAGCTGACTTAGTGGAGGAGTGAGAGAGAGAGAGAGCTGTTATTATTCATCATTGTAGTTACGCCATCGCCGCACGATTATTATTTTCGAGTTTCCCAGTTCATTTCGAGTGGTTTCTTTATCATCATGGCAGACGCAGAAGATCCGCCAGGACCTCGCCATAGCGCACGGGCAAACTTTTACAAATGAAGAATACGCAGACATATTCTGTTATGGACATTGTAACGGCGATTCTGCAGCTGCCCGCCGTGAATATCGGCAACGTTTCCCGAATCGCCGAACACCTCATGTTACTGTATTTGACTCTGTGTATCGGCGCATCCGCCAAACCGGACATGTTCAAAGGCAACATAGTGATGCTGGCCGACCCCGAGTCTATCCTTCTGAAGATGAAGAGGAAATCCTTCGTGTATTCCAGGAAGACCCTACTACGTCTACGCGCATTGTGGCTGCTCAGTTGGGTATATCACAATACAAAGTATGGTTGTTTACTGTGCATACTGCAAGAATATACTCTTATCACTACACGCCTGTGCATTTGATTGAAGAGGGCGATCCTGCAAGATATTAGATTTCTGCAGGTACATGTTACATGCAGATACAGAAGATCCAGACTATTTGATAAGGACGGGATCACTAACTACCATAATGCTTATTACTGGGCTGATAAAGAAGCTTTAAACCCCCGAAAAATAAGACCGACGGGGTCTCAGAGCCGGTTTTCAGTCAATATGTGGATGGGCATCGTTGGTGGATATTTGGTGGACCTCATTTACTGCCCGTCAATTTAAATGGAGAATGGAGAAGTGTATGAAGAGTTCTTGAAAAATCACTTGTTTCCATTAATGGAAGACGTCCCATTGGCGACGAGACAAAATATGCGGTTCCAGCACGACGGCTGTCCCGCACACTACAGTAGATTGGTACGGGCGTATTTAGACTCTAAATTTCGAAATAAATAGATTGGCAGAGGCGGGCCCATTGCCTGGCCAGCAAGAAGCCCAGATCTCACACCGATGGATTACTATGTGTGGCGACATATGAAAAGCCTGGTGTACGATGTTTCGCCCGTACCAACGCGCGATGAATTAATTACAAAGATAATCAGTGCAGCTGACCAAATAAAAAGCCGCTTAACAACTAGAGTTACCAAAAGTGAATTACGTAAGAGAATGCGGGCGTGTATTCGTAACATTTGAGCAGAATCCGTAAAATACTAAAGGAATTTTAATTAAATAAAACTGTAATTGAAATAAAAGCCTTTTATTTATCCTACGTAATTATTATTTTATATATATTATCGTTCGTACAACCTTACTCATCTTTTTTTAATTTTATGTCTTTGTACTTGAGTTAGTTGTAACTTTTATACCTCAAATGACAGCTTGTTAGATAGAGATATTATTTACATAATTTGCTCATTTTATTACTAGGAGATTTTTTACAGAAAATTGTATTTTTATCGAATAAGTTAGTAAAAAAATAAGAAAATCATACATTTCAAAAGCGTAATTTTAAAACTTTTGTAAGTTTTCAACATTTTATTACTTATTATGTACTATTGGAATGTCCGCTATGCGACGATAACAAAAAACTCAAAATCAAACATGTAGTTTTTTTTGTATTTCAAATTTAACCGTCTGAAATCGGATTAAAAAATAAAAAATAAAATTCAAATAACTCAAAAACGGTTAACTTCTGGATAGGACATTATAGGACAAAATCGGTTGCTTTTGACCTAATCTATCACCCCTTAACAGGAATACGTGACATTACAAGTCACCCTGTAGATGGATCAGTATCCATTAAGTTTTATTATTCTGCCTGCCTGCAGAGGGGATAATAAAAAACAAATATTTTAAGATATATCTACATTTTATATTTATTTTATAACATGATCTAAGTATACAGCATCACCGTTTGTTATTTGGTTTGTCTATTATATAACTTATGGGCGTATTACAACAGAGCTTTTTCATTATTGTAACAATCTGCTGGAATTTTTTTCAGGATACTCGCAACAATGTGAAAACTGGATGTAGTCACAGGCATTGATTCGGTCGTTGAACAAGGTTATGCCAGGACATTCCATTGTATATCCGCCAGATGGACCACATGAGACATAATGTCTGAAAATAACGAAAAACGTTATATTTCGGATGCGTGTTTTCATTTATGAGTTATGTATGTAGCTTGAGCCAGCAGCTTTTCTGCAACAAACAAGTTGAATAAATTGTAAATGGCAAAATGTAATACTAAAGCAACCACGGTAATTACCGAATGCTGCGACAACTACAAAGAATAGAACGAAACACGAAAAAATATTATACAATTCGTTATTTGTTACTGCAGAGGCTCCTTATCACTTTCTGAAAAAATTTTGTCGGGGTTAAAAATTGTAGGTTGGGCGCTGATTTGGTGGTCGGTTTCCCCGTACATTTTCTCTTAAAACTCTGAGAAATAACAAACGGACGCGTCGCGTCTAGGTAGCACTGGCCGTTCGCTACGAACTTAGACTTTAATCCTTGATCCTGTTTGTGCCTTGCACAACCGCCTAATCTTACTGCCTCACTGCTCGAGGTGTCCAGCATAGCATGGCTGACGTGGTCAGATGGTCGATACTTTCAGAAAGGCAGGGTTACAAATTTCTAAATCGCAGAGTTATCAGAGGTTTTTTTTTTATATCGAAACAGCCGCGCAGGCAGAAGCCTAAATGGCGGAACACCGCGGCTGCTATGATGATCCCAAAGAAATTTTGTTAATACGATTTTTGAACTGCCCAAGGTTAGTAGAACAGGGAAAAGCTTCCTCCCGTAGATTGTTCCACAATCTAGACACCCTCGGGACAAAGGAGCGGTCGTATCGGCCAGTTCTGGATGTACGAAGTTTGACACGGTTAGGATGGGACGCCCTAAACAAATAGCCTAGCTTTTTCCCAGCAGTTGCAGCTATTGAAGAGATGTGTTCGTGCCAGATCAGGTCCTCGGTGATCTGGACTCCGACCAGCCGGAATGAATGGCTCTTTGGTAGAACTCGACCGTCCATCGAAACTGTATGAGCGCCAGGACGCTTTTTGTTCGTCAAAGTACAGTACTGTGTTTTGGAAGCATTGAACTGTACAAGATTGTTGCGTCCCCAAGCAGTGATAGACTCCAGGTCTCTTGTCAGAGAAGAAGTCGTCGCTAGTCTTCTTTTTTCCAGCTAAGCGGCAGAGATCGGCTTGTCACTCTGAATTCCTGCATGTAGAGTGCTGTCATCAGCGAAGCTGTGGATTGGGTTCATCGTGCAGGAAAGGAGGTCGTTGATATGTAAGAGAAACAGTGTTGGAGCCAAGACCGATCCCTGGGGAACACCCGCGTTGACGTTGTGGGATGAAGAGGAGAATCCGTCACTTACGACGGATATCTTGCGGCCAGAGATAAAGTCAGCCACCCATCTGCAAAGCTTTTCTGGGAGGCCGTAGGATGGAAGTTTGCTCAAGAGGGCAGCGTGCCACAGCTGATCAAACGCTTTCGTGATGTCAAGAGCAACGACATGAGCCTCACCATGAGACTGGATGAGTTTACTCCACAGTTGCGTGACGTAAGCTAGGAGGTCCCCTGTGGATCGTTGGTGCCGGAAACCGTACTGCCTGTCGCTAATCAAGCTGTGACGTTCGAGGTAGTCCAGAAGCTCGCGATTTATGCACCTCTCCATCACTTTACTTATAACAGAAAGCAGAGCTATAGGCCTGTCGTTGTAAGGGTCGGTTTTAGATCCTTTTTTTGGGATGGGCTGTACATGAGCAAATTTCCAGTTTTCTGGGAAGGTGCCGGATTCATAAGATATCTGGAAGAGACGCGAAAGAACTGGAGCAAGCTCAGCTGCACATCTCTTCAGTACAATGGCAGGAACCAAGTCCGGACCAGAAGCTTTGTTGATGTCGAGCGACAAGAGCACTCGTCTTACGGTCTTATGCCTGAATGTTACCTCCCGCATAGTGTGGGGAACCCTTTGAATTGACGGCACTTGGGCGTTGGTAGGGACGTCCATGGTGGAGTTGGCAGCAAAGATCTTGGCTAGCACTTCCGCCTTGGCCTTTGAGTCGAATACAATAGTTCCGTCCTGACACGTAAGTGGTGGAAGGCTACTGTGTGAGAAGTTCTTTTCAATCTGCTTGGCCAGCGTCCAGAAAGACCGACTGCCATTGCGCTGCGACATTACCCTGTGCCTAACTTTTTTATCATGCTGGGTTTCGGCATTGCGAACCGCTTCGTTATATTTGTTTCTGGACTCGACGTCGGCTTGTCTGTTCTCTACAGTGGGGTTTTGTAAGTAGGTTCTGTGTGCCTTGATCTTCTGCTGGCGAGCAGTGTCACACGATTTGTTAAACCAGCCGTTGGACCCTGGTTTAGGAACTTTCACTGTGTGAGGGATGTATTCCTCCATTCCGACGTGGATAATTTCGGTTATTGAAGAACAGACAGTCGACGCATCCGCGTTAGTGAAACAGACATCTCTCCAAGGAAAGCTAGAGAAGAAGTCTCTGAGCCCCTCCCAGTCGGCATGTCCGTAATGCCAAGTTTTGCGGCCTGTGCGAGTTTCTGCTGCCACAGCGACTTCTGGCCGAAACCTAACCTCCACAACACCGTGATCTGAGTTACCCAGGGGTGACAGGACAGCAGTGCTGTAAGGGGCAGGATGCGTGGTCAGAAAGAGATCCAGCAGGCTACTGGCGTGTGACGACACGCGGGGGGAAAAAGTAGGGCTCGTCACCAGCTGGGTCAGCCCTTGAGTAAGAGCGAACGCTTCGACTGCACGACCTGCTGCATCGGTCTTATTTGAGCCCAACCAAAGCTCATTATGGGCATTGAAATCACCGAGAAGAACTACCTCTGAAGCGGGGTGATTGATGTTCAGGAAGTCGATCTGGACGGCGAGGTATTCGAGTAGGTCATCCCAGTTATGGTTCGAGGGAGAGCGATAAAGGCAGCAAATAAATTTGGGTGATGTTTTGGAGTTGAGGCGAAGCCACAGAATGTCCTTCCGGTCTGATTCCAAAGAAAGATCCCTGGAGCAGGAAAGACTGCTGCGGACAAAAGCCACAACTCCCCCGTTCTTTCTCAGATTGGAGTGCACCTCGTAGTTTGGGGAGTTGAGATGGTTGATCGGTGCAGTCTCTGAGATTTTTGTCTCCGCCAAGAAAAGCACGGCGGGACGATTGGATTGCAGGTAGTGATGAACAGCATCAATGTTGCTGTTGATCCCGCAGATGTTCGAAAAACAAATTTTATCTTCGATGTTGTTCCCTCGAGCCCACCCTCCACCCGGACATTCCGAGAGTGGAGTGAGTTTACGTCCGGAGTTTTTAGTGCTCGAGGGATCCATCATCATTAATTTCTTTGTTTTCGTAGATAACCGACTGCATAGCTTAGGTGTGGAAACATGCGGACATTTATAAGACACCCTGGGAAAAGCTAGCGGGTGGTACTGCCTCGGTCGACTGGTCCTTGTCTACCACCTTCTTTTTACGTGTTAGTGATATTAAATAGACCTTAAGTGGCCCGTTGGCGGACTTGTACCGCCACCCGGCAATCGGTACTGAGGTATTCCTTAACGCGTGCGCAATCACTTGGACGGGAAGAAGTTGTACACTGGATACAACGACTTCCGGAACAAGCATTTGCCACGGCCCTCGCTCAGTAGGGTGCGAGAGGTGTGATAACTTTGGACTAATTGCATGGGGCTGTTTGGCTCACTTGATCCATTTTATCCTTTTCTGTATTAAACGTTTCCGTAGTTAACCTCTTTTTCATAATAAGAACTCTTCATAAACTGATGACAGCGCTTCGTGAGAATCAGCCTACTTTTCGCCATTCTTTGCTCTTTAATAGTTATCTCTGGGAAACCCCTGATGTAATAGCCTGATTAAGTTTTTGCTTGTGGGCTTCACCAAGTCTAGCTACGCGACTGGAGCTAAAATCAATGCGAAGGACCCGTGACAAGGTATCAGGAATTTGTACAGCCTGCAGTATGATGCAGAACAAGCGCGGCAGGTGCATTACGTATCCTGAAAATTAACATTGTCGGTTTTTTTTTGACATTATATAGTTTTTTGTGGTATTATATAGGTTTCTCTACAAGATGTTAACTTAGCACTAGCGGTTGTACACTTGTTGTGTACTCGTTCCGTAACAGTACGTGTTGCCTAAACGTCATGATCAGCTATCAATGTTTGGCTCTGACCTGATGTAACATCTGCTTGAGAGATGTTATTATTGGAGGTTTAAGCTGTAAGTTGTATACTATAGCTGGAAAGAAACGGCAGTGCATAGGTGCATAGTGAGGATTAGTGTGCTAATAATCATTCTGTGTTGATGATAATTCCATTGGTTTCCTGTCGCAAATACACTTACTTGATATTATGTAAAGCTAAATATTAGCATCCGATTTTTCTTATTCAAACTATAAATTACGTATGCAACTTTGCTGAATTTAAAAAAAGAGAGCTATAAGAAAAGAAAATCTCTGGTTGGTGAAGTATCCAGGGTGTCCCAGAAGTCGACGTCAAGCCGAAACCGGGTGATAGGCAAAGTCATAACAGCTATCAGAAAAATATTTAAAAAAATTTTATGTATGTGTTTTGAAAATTATAGGTCTTTGAAAAAAATATAGAAATTTCACACCCTACGGCAGTCTGTCAACTCCTGTTACTACAAATATTAACTTTTTTTGGATTTTATTTTTACAATGTAATGATGAATAATGCATCTTCAAACTGGTGTCTCAACCTTACTGCCAACTTTTCTCGTTCAGGAAAAATTGCCACTTATTTCCCAACCAAGTATTCCAAAGTAAAACTTTGCTCAACTTTAACTGGCTGTACTGGAAAAAAATGTACTACGAGAGTTTGGCAAGTAACCTTAAAAGTTGGCGCATTTAATAAGGATTCCAAAATGGTATAACACTTAGAAGATTACACGATAGCTTATGCACAATTTTTATCTGAAGAAAAACTGATGAAAATTTTTTAAAATTTCCTAATTAAACAGCGATTATGAAAACGCGCAAGGACCCTTAAGGATAACTGTTTGCACAACAGTGGGCGTCAAAATGCTGCTGATGATGATTTACCTTTACAGCAAATGCTCAAACTGTTTTCCTTCAGCCGCAATACACGCTCGACATCTTCTTAAAAAAGATCGGGTTATTAAACGAGCGAATCCACGGTTATTAACAAACTCAGCTGCTTCCAATAGTCTTTGCCGTAGCTCAGCTACATTTTGAATCGGCTTGAAATACACTTTTTCTTTTACAGTTCCCCAGTAAAAAAAAATCTAACGGATTCAAATCTGGTGACCGGGCTGGCCACGGTATTGTACCAGACCGCCCTATCCATCTGCCTGGAAAGTTTTGATCGAGATACTCTCTCACTGAGAGTGCATAGTGCGCTGGGCAGCCATCATGCTGAAACCACATGTCCCTGTAAATACTCAGTGGCACGTCCTCCAATAAATTTTCTAAATGATTTTGCAAAAAACCTAAATAAACCTTAGCAGTCAAAGTCTCTGGAAACTCAAACGGACCGATTATTTTACCATTTAAAATTCCTGTCCAATGGTTTATCTTGAAGCGATATTGAGATTTATCTTCTCTCATCAAATGTGGGTTTGCTACGTGCCACTCGTGTAAGCTATGCAGGTTGATGTACCCATCTTTCTTAAATGTGGTCTCATCTGACCATAAAATTTTTTCAAAGAACCGTGGATCTTCCCTGTGTCTTTCTAACATTGTGCGACAAAAAGCAACTCGGGGCTCATAATCCCGGGGTAGAAGAGCTTGAACACGCTGTACGTGGTATGGATGGAGCACGTTTTTTTGCAAGATTCTATGGGCTGTACTTTTGGGCACACCTGTTTTTAGTTCTATTGCACGCACTGAAGTACTCGGGTCTTCTTCGACAGCTCCTAGCACCACGTCTTCTTAAGGAAGGAAAGATCTTCCCTCACCGTGTGATTGGTTTGGTAGTTGGCCCCCTGAGAACAGTAAGCGGTGCACATTTGTGAACACTCGATGATCTGGATGACGAGCTGCATTCGGGTACCTCTCACAGTAAAGTCTCGCTGCAGCACTAGCGTTGCATCTGCATTCCCCATAAATGAGGTGCATGTTAGCATATTCTTGGACGGTGTATACGGACATAGCGGCACTGCAAAATCACACTATCAAAGATAGTCTAAGGAAAGCAAATGTTGTTTTGAAGAGCAATTAAACAGTCCAAATCCAAATCACAAGCGATCAACAGTCCAGTTCACGAATCCAAAATTAGTAACAGTACGAAATCAACAAGCACGAACATGTAAAGATGCGCAGTAAACGAAGGAGTACTGATCGGTATCAAAGTGTGCAATAGCAAGTAAGTGATGTGCTTCATCTATACCACATACAGCGTGTTCAATCAACCTCTCCTGCCCCGGGATTATGAGCCCCGAGCTGCTTTTGGTCGCACAATGTTAGAAAGACACAGGAAAGATCCACAGTTTTTTGAAAAAATTGTATGGTCGGATGAGACCACATTTAAGAAAGATGGGTACATGAACCTGCATAACTTACACGAGTGGCACGTAGCAAATCCACATTTGATGAGAGAAGATAAATCTCAATATCGCTTCAAGATAAACCATTGGACAGGAATTTTAAATGGTAAAATAATCGGTCCGTTTGAGTTCCCAGAGACTTTGACTGCTGAAGTTTATTTGGATTTTTTGAAAAATCATGTACAAAATTTATTGGTGGACGTGCCACTGAGTATTTACAGGGACATGTGGTTTCAGCATGATGGCTGCCCAGCGCACTATGCACTCTCAGTGAGAGAGTATCTCGAGCTAAACTTTCCAGGCAAATGGATAAGGCGGTCTGGTACAATACCGTGGCCAGCCCGATCACCTGATTTGAATCCTTTAGATTTTTTTACTGGGGAACTGTAAAAGAAAAAGTGTATTTCAAGCCGATTCAAAATGTAGCTGAGCTACGGCAAAGACTATTGGAAGCAGCTGAGTTTGTTAATAACCGTGGATTCGCTCGTTTAATAACCCGATCTTTTTTAAGAAGATGTCGAGCGTGTATTGCGGCTGAAGGAAAACAGTTTGAGCATTTGCTGTAAAGGTAAATCATCATCAGCAGCATTTTGACGCCCACTGTTGTGCAAACAGTTATCCTTAAGGGTCCTTGTGCGTTTTCATAATCGCTGTTTAATTAGGAAATTTTGAAAAATTTTCATCAGTTTTTTTTCAAATAAAAATTATGCATAAGTTAACGAGTAATCTTCTAAGTGTTATACCATTTTGGAATCCTTATTAAATGCGCCAACTTTTAAGGTTACTTGCCAAACTCTCGTAGTACATTTTTTTCCAGTACAGCCAGTTAAAGTTGAGCAAAGTTTTACTTTGGAATACTTGGTTGGGAAATAAGTGGCAATTTTTCCTGAACGAGAAAAGTTGGCAGTAAGGTTGAGACACCAGTTTGAAGATGCATTATTCATCATTACATTGTAAAAATAAAATCCAAAAAAAGTTAATATTTTTAGTAACAGGAGTTGACAGACTGCCGTAGGGTGTGAAATTTCTATATTTTTTTCAAAGACCTATAATTTTCAAAACACATACATAAAATTTTTTTAAATATTTTTCTGATAGCTGTTATGACTTTGCATATCAGCCGGTTTCGGCTTGACGTCGACTTCTGGGACACCCTGTATTAAAGCTAATAGGTGAGAAAATATGCTACATACAGAAATATTTATGAAACGTAAAAAAGTTATTACATTTTGCATTAATTTTTATTTCCAGTCATTTAAATTTCACATAAATTTATTTTACGATGTTAAGTAGAAAATACAAATCAGTGCTCAGATGTAAGGCTGTGCGTAAATGTTTTGTATGTGATGCGTTTTTCCTCAGCACGGTCATTGAGCGTGTCGTGTGATTGAGTTATTCCGGAATCACGGACTTCCAATCAAGCATGTCGTGCATGTTTCATAAGACTATAAGACGGTCACTTATGTGGTTAATGTTATTTACAATGGACATATTTATAACATTTGGTTTTATATATAGTCTAACCGTATTAGCAAAATTCACCGACATAAAGTCGGTTTTATTGTTGCAAGTTGTTCAAGGGGGTATTTAAAACATGGACGCATAAAATGGGTACACCAATTTTTGTTATAATTTATTTGACAAAGAATGAGAAAACGTGTATTTTGGGATTCAATCGAAAGTGTTGACAGGAACGAGAAAATTTTATCTTATAAGATTTTTAGGTATTTATGAGACCTACAAAATGAGACCACACGTAAAAAGGTCCGACTAATAGCAAAACTGTTATGGCCGAAAAACGGGGCAAAATTCAGGTTTTGGCACTTGTTAGTAATGCGACCATAATTTCACGCAACTACTTGAAATGCTTCAAATCCGTGGGATTCATACTTCTAAATAACAACAAAATTGGACTATATTGGTCAAGTAGTTTTTTGAGAATTTCTAATTGCTTATCCCAAAATACCTGTTTTCCGGCCATCACTACTAGTTTATTGAGCATTATCCGGGGTTCGTTCAAACCATTCCGAGAGATAAACGTTATTTTTATGCGAAAAAGAAAAGTTTCGTTTTATTCTTTTAAACAAATACAAACATTTTTGTGAGTAATTGAACAAATACGCTACGATATTCGAAAAACGTTTTAAAGCAAATCGGATGTGTCTATCATCTTTTGTTGCGAATTACTCACAAATACGAAATGTTTAAATTTGTTTAGAAGAAAAAACGTAACCCACCCTTTTTTGCATAAAAATAACATTTATCTTCCGGAATGGTTTGCGATTTATATTGGCAAGGTAAACTAGTGTATTTAGCTATAAAATGCCATTTGAACGAATATTGCTCAATAAGCTAGTAGTGATGGCCGGAAAACAGGTGTTCTGGGATAAACAATTGGGGATTCTCAAAAACTACTTGACAAATCTACTCCAATTTTATTGTGGTTATTTAGAAGTACAAATCCTACGAATTTAAAGAATTTCAAGTATCTGCGAGAAACCATCGTTGCATTACGAACAAGCGTCAAAACTTACAGTTCGCCTCGGTTTTCGGCCATAACTTTTTTGCTATTAGTCGGATTTTTTTGCGTGTAGTCTCATTTCGTAGGTCTCATAAATACCTAAAAATCTTATTTAAAGAGTGTTTTCGTTCCTGCCAACACTTTCGATTGAATCCCAAAAAACAAGATTTCTCATTCTTTGTTGTCGAATAAAAAGTTTTCCCACAAAAATTGGTGTACCCATTTTATGCGTCCATGCTTTAAATACCCCCTCGAACAACTTGCAGCAATAAAACCAGACTTTACAATTATTTTGCAAACCAGCGGTATTTTCGTCTAATATGAATTTAGTTATATATCTATATTAGTTTTAATAAAAAAATATTTTTATTACAATTTTTTTTTGAGGTCAGCTTAGCTACCAACATAACCAAAACAAGCCAACAAAAACGAGTACCTGCAGTCCTCAAATGCAGGAAGTATCGGTTTCTTTGTCTTCCCAGGAACGCAGGTTTCTTGTTTCTTCCTTTTCTCCTGGTTTGTATTCAAAGTGTTCACGTCGGCTTCTAGAAATTTGCAAGTCGATGTTGTTTTATCTAAAATGGTGCCGCTTGGACATCGTATGTAGATGATTTCGTTATAAGACGTCTTGCGAACTATTTCACCATCCAAAATGATTTGAGTAGGTAGCGAGGGATCGCTTTCTGATGATATCGTGAAGCATAATGACCAGTGGACTCCTACTAGTACTGTAAATAAATTTATTCTCAGAGCGCTCCCAGTTTAGTTAAAACGTCAACATCGCAATTGAGTAATAAATATTTTGACGACCAGTTATTCTATGTGTGAGGGAGTGAGTGTATTTTTTTTTATTCTGAGGCAGCTACGAAGGCTGTGTTGGTCTGATTTGGGCACCTGTCTAAAATGCAACAAATTTATGTCTCTATGGGCGAGAATCATTCGTTTTTGAAACTTTTCAGATTTTGTGTTTATTTGACAATAACCCGAAATTGGACATTTGAGCCTAAGAAACGAAACAAACTATGTAAAAAAAGCGTAAAAGTTCAATCAATTTTCGTATCTTAGCTAATGGGATTATGAAGGGTGCAAAACCACTTCACACGATTAAATAATAATAATAATATGCCTTTATTTTACCTAGCGGGTATGTCAGCTAATGCCTGCTTTAGGTACCAACCAGGGCTACATAAGATTAACAAACATAAAAAAATCACAGATGCAAAAAAATAATGATCAAGACATATAGTACTGAGAAGTAACAAGTACCACATAATAGTGTGTAAAGTGTGTATACAGATTTAAATCACAAACACTCACGTACTCAGAGACAGAAATAATAAAAAAAGGAAATATATAAAAATCATAAAAAAGAACAGTAAATAAGTAACATCTAGCTATGTAATCACAAGTAAGAAGCATTCACGTAAAGAAATAAGAACTATTCGAAAAAATACAATAGTTTTTGTTTTCAGTTTTTTTAGAAAAAACTGTGTAGCTCTAAAAATTGCTGGTGTATTGAGCGCACAAATTGCTAGGAGAAGTTGCTTGTATTGCCAGCTTTCCAGAAACGCATAAAACATCAATATGAAGGCATTCAATTCCAATGAATAACCAATCAAACCGATTCAGATTTAATGATAGTCCGACGTTAAATATTTCTTATAAAAATTTCAGAAGAACGTGAAGTTATATACAGGGTGCGCCAGAGAGGACGGATGTTTTTGGGATGGGTAGTACTCTCCGCCTCCGCCTACGAGAGAGGTGGGGAGGGTGTCGTTTGACTCGTGAGATCCTAGCATTATTTTACCAGTTGTCGTTATGGAGCCTTTTACGGTGGAGCACCGCGTTTTCGCCTATGATTGTTTCGTCCGAAATAATGAGTCGATCATCGTTGTACAGCGTGAGAATAGAGCTGTTCCCTCTCGAAACACCACCGTTGGGTTGAATCACTTCGCATGCGTGGTGAACTGATCAACAGAAGACCAAGAGGAGCGCCGCGAACAGTTCGAACTCCTGAAAATGTTGAACGCGTTCGACAGGTCTTTCTTCGCAGTCCGACTCGATCTGCCCGGAAACATGCTGCTGCACTTCGCCTTAGTAATCGTTCGGTAAGGCAAATTTTGCATATGGATCTCCGCTTTCATCCCTACAAATTGGCCGTTGTGCAACAGTTACAGGCCGGAGATTATGCTCAACGAATGAACTTCGCACGTGAGATGGAAGCACTGATCGATCAAAATGAGAACCATTTTGTTTATGAGTGACGAAGCCCACTTTCACAAGCCACAAGCCCGAAACTCTGGACGAATTGAAAGGCGAAATTCGCGTGGAAGTCGCCCAAGTTGAGAGAGCGATGCTGGAGAGAGTCTACGCGAACTTCCAAGTACGCCTCCAGCACTGCATCAACGATTTCGGCCACCACATGCCTGATGTGATTTTCCACACTTGACTGTCTTAAATGCTATTTCCTTGTGAACCTGATTCCATCAATAAATTTGTTTTCGAGTAAAAATTAACTATTTTATGATTTTTTTAAAACCGTCCATCCTCTCTGCTGCACCCTGTACAAACATGCGACCAATTAATGTAGTGCCAGACGTCGAGAAGCTCTTAGAAGGAATCATATATGAACAAGTCATATTGAAGAAAATAAGATATTGACAAAATTTCAAGCAGTATTCAGAAAAAAGTATTCTACTGAAACAGCAATTCAAATGGTAGTAGAAGAATAGTGGCGAAATATGGATGAAAAAAGTTTACAGTAACATTGTTTTTAGATTTCAAGAGAGCATTTGAGACTATTGACAGGGAGAAATTGTTAACGAAATTGCATTGCTATAGATTTCAAGGTTCAGTATTCAACTTATTACAAAATTATTTAATCAACAGAAGTCAAAGAACTAAAACTGGCAATACATTATCAAACATTAAAAACATTTCGGTAGGTGTGCCACGGGGTAGCAAATTAGGTCCATTATTATTTATTTTATATATTAACGATATCCCTGATATTTTACAACACTGCAAAATTCAACTATTTGCTGATGATACATTAATATATATATATATATATATATAGAATATCAAATAAAGACATTGAAACTTCAATAGAGCTGTTAATAATGATATGAAAAACGTAATAAATTGGTTAAATGTAAATAAACTTAAACTAAACACAAACAAAACAAAATATATGCTAATAGAAAAATATTTAGATCAAAATACGATAAATCTTACAATTAATCATGAAAAAATTGTGTCAATCGAATCATTGAAATATTTGAGCATATACGTTGACAGTAAATTAAAATTTGAGGGGCACTATGAATATATTATTTCAAAAATATCCAGGAAAATAAATTACTTTTATAGAATTTCGCGTAGCCTAAGCGTTTATTCTAAAAAAATTGTGTACAACACTATAATTCTTCCTCATTTGTTATATTGTTCAACTATTTTGTTCACTGCAAATGAAACCGTATTTTCAAAATTACAAATACTACAAAATAAAGCTATGATAATCATCTTAAATAAAAATAAATATACTAGAATAAATGCTTTGCTGAAAGAACTATAATGGTTAAATATCAAAAATTTCATAGCTTACTTGGTTTTCATTTTCATATTCAAGTTAAAAAATCATCTTCTACCAAATCACTTAGAAAATTTTATTGTATTGAACAATGAGTGCCACAATTATTCTACTAGAGGAAGTATAGACTTTCATTCACAAAACTTCAAAAGATAACGAGGAAGTTAAAAAAGTAAGTAAGCGATAGTTGTGTCTTGTGGCCTCAATTGGCATTTAGTCATCGTACAGTATGTTGTGAAGAGCTGCTTTAATCTATTTATTATGCCTAGAGTGAGAAGATGAGAAAATATTCAACAGCTTAGCGAGTTTAATAGATTGCAAATAGTAAGTGTGTGTGAGGCTGCTTGTTCCTTTAGAGCAGTGGTTCCTAACCTTTTCAATGTCACTACCCCTGTGAACAAGTATGGGAATTGAGTTTACCCCTAGCCAATTTAAAATAATTAAAACCACACAAATTCGAACGAAAATATGTTTATTATCTAACTAAATTCTAAGAAATTGCACGTTTAGGTAACTAGTAAAGTAAAGTAATATGTAAATCTTGGAGTTAACTAGTGTGAAGGTTGAAATTGCTTTGCATTCGCAAGTTTGACAATATTAGGTTCGGTTTCACTCAACGCGCATCTCATGTCATGCTCAACATTCAGACGGTTTCTGGCTTTTGTTTTTAATGTAACAAGAGTTGAGAAACCAGTTTCACATCTGTAAGTTGTAGCAAATGGAATCAACATTTTTAAAGCTCTGTCAGCTATAATGGGATATTCTGCAGCTGCTTTTCGCCAAAATGTGCTTAGTTTATCATTTTGAAAATCAACTTTCAATGAGTTATTCTCACGCAGCCCGAGAAACTCTACTTTCGCTGACACATCTTCGTCCTTGAAAATATCGACGCAAGTAGAAAATGGTCTTAAAATCCAGGAGTAGGACTCACGACTGTCCATGTTCGGAAAATATTGCTGCAGTGAGTCTATCACGGCAGTTAAATGTTGAACCACGGAATTTTCAAACGAGATTTTCTCTTGTTTATTATTTACTAATTGCTCACTTAGTTGTGTAAACATTGACACATCACCAGCTTGAACTCTGCGTTGGTAAAGTTCCAATTTGCGCAAAAAACTTGCGATTTTATCCTGCAACGTCAAAATATTCGTTTCATTTCCTTGCAGTGAAATATTCAGACTATTAATTTCAGTGAAAAAATCAGCAAGGTACGCCATTTTTAGAATAAATGTTTGGTCTTTAATTTTTGCATAATATTCTTTTTCTTTTTGTGTTCTCTGATTTTCAAAAAACAATCCAATTTCTTCTCGTAATTTGTAAACCCTACTTAGAACTTTGCCTCTTGATAACCAACGTACCTCTGTATGGTACAAAAGAGCATTAAATGTAGCACCAACTTCATCGCACAAAACTTTGAATAATCTTGAGTTAGTAGCGCTGCCTCGAATATGATTAACAATTTTTACTATGTCACTCAACGTGTTTAGCAAATCTGATGGAAGCGTTTTCACAGCCAAAGCGTAACGGTGTATCAAGCAATGATAGCCGAAAACTTGAGGAGCAACTTGCTTCACGAGTGCCTGAAAACCAGAACGGATGCCCATCATGGAAGGCGGCCCCGTCTGTACAAGTACCAATCAGCTTTAACCAGTCTAGGCCATTTTCCTCAATAAACTCTTTTAGCGTTTGAAATACGTCTTCGCCGCGAGTAGTAGTGGGCAAAGACTTGCAGAACAAATATTCCTCCTTTACATCATCATCTTTAATGTATCGTGTAAACACCAATAATTGTGAACACGAAGCAACATCTGTGGACTCGTCCAACTGCAGCGCAAACATATGACTTTCCTTTATTTCAGAAATAACGGTTGCTAGAATATCGGCACTCATTTCACATATGCGACTTTGAATAGTAGTGTTTGAGAGTGAGATTTGTTTAATCTTAGCTACATGTTGCTCACCAATAACAAGTGCTACTGCATCTAACAAGCAAGGTTTGATGAGGTCCTCTCCTATAGTGTGTGGTTTTTTATTACGTGCGATGCGATAAGCAATTTTGTATGAAGCTTGAAGGCATGATTCATTTGCTTTCTGTATATTGCCTGTTGAATCCATGCGGGAAGACTTCAGAATCCTCTCCTTTTTCTTAAAAAAATCTATATTTTTATCTGCGAACTCCTTGTGAACTTTAGCAAAATGTTCTTTTAATTTGCTCGGTTTCATGCTTTCTGGATTAAGCACTTTATTACATAAAACACACTGAGGCTTTTCTATATTTTTGTCTACGATGCTTGTGAAACCCCATTGTAGAAATGCTTCTTTATAAGTGCGCTTTTTGCCAGATGAAGTAGAAGCCATGTCAAAAACACCTGTAGGTACCTAAAACAAAAATCAACTAATACATACCTACGTAAACAAATCACTCGTGACAATATTAACGTGACGATATTAACAAACACTGCTTACCTTTGAATTTAAACCGTTTAAAAATACGATTTCTGCAATGCGCGGCGGAACAAATAAAATGCGTGTTCTTCCTAAGCTTAGGGCTGTGGCTTAGGTAAACAAAATGAACATCGCCGCCTGTCCGGCCCGCCGCTAGTCATGCTTCACCCCTCCCACACCGCAGCTCACCCGCCGCCGTCGCCGTCAGCTGCGCGCATGAGAGCGCCGTGCTACCGTTTACCGTACTATTATTTTGTTTATTGCTATTTTAATACTATTTCGTGCCATCCCGTGTTACCCCCTTAGAATCTCCGTTTTACCCCTGCGGGGGTAATTACCCCCAGGTTAGGAACCACTGCTTTAGAGGAATAACCACCAGGATGTACAGAAGACCAAATAAGATTGTTGTTTGATGTTGGCCATGGAATCAGGAAGGCCATCCACGAACAGCGAGGTACAGAGCATGTCAGAAGAATGGCCCCACACCAAGATCACGGCCTTAGACATATGACTCTACGGGACCGCTTCTCATTCACAATATCAATTGCGGACCAATCGTGTGGAGAGCGTAGAAAGCCTGTTACAATCCGAGTTGTTTGTCGCCGGATCAACAGTTATGGGCATACTTTCATACCGTCCTCAGTTTGTCCCACCTCTCACTCCTAAGCACCGAAGTTATCGACTGGCTTAGTGCAGAGAACGGCCGAACTAGGACCTCGAATGGAATACCTTTGTATTTACTGATGAATCCAGATTCTGTTTGGGGGATACATGATGACATTTGGTGCTCATTATTGGCAACATGACCGCCGTGTTAAATCCAGGAGTTAAGGGTCGCTCATCAACCCACTTTTCCAACAAGATGACGCGCGACAACACATAGCCAGAATTACGTTGGTCCATTTTGAAGACCATCAAGTCGATTTGTTTCCTTGGCCACTAGATCTTCCGATTTTTCTCCCATTCAGTACGTCTGGGACATTAAGGAAAAAATTTTACTTCGTTTACCCCATCCTCGACAGACTCCAGCGGTAGTTCGGCACGAGGTACAAGCAGCCTGGGAAGAAGTATGCCCAGATGTGTACCTGAGCGTATAAAACATCGTGGAAGCCCAACAAATTACTAATTCTTTACATTTTTTCAACTGGTGGAGTTTTCTGAAATTTACTTCTAAAATCATTTACTTACCTAACACTAAAAAGCATGTATACTAAAAATTGTTGTAATAAATTCATTATTATTGAATATTCTTTTTTCTATGTCAGTTACGAGTAGTATAATTTACTTTTTTAAAATGCTGTTATTTTATCGTGGGTAGTGTTCTTGTACCTTTTATTTTTGTTCAACTTAATTCAAACTCAAACTGCTAATCTCAGTTGTATTGTCACGCACTTCTTATATGTTTATTTAATCATTAGACTCAAATGCCCAATTTCGGGTGAATGTTAAAAAAACAAATATTGAAAAATATTGAAAGCTATTGATTTTTGCCCATGCACGTATTGGATGGTATTTGTTGAATTTCAAATCTCGTATCACACCGTGGAAGAAATATGACGAAATACCAGTAACTCGATCATCAAAAATAAAACATCATACACAGGATCGCACTATAAGAGGGTCTTCTATGTCTTCTTTCCTCGAGAGCTTCATTAAAAAGATACGGTGTGTTGAAGCTCAAAAATAAAAAACAGTTTTTTTAGTATCTTCAAAACCGTCAACTGGAACGAACTAAAATTTGGTATGTGGATTTTCCTAAGTATTGTCCACATTCAAAAGTGTTTACTTAAAATTGACGTACACCAGCGGCGGAGATACAGAGGCTTAGTGCATTATTTATCCAAATAAAAATAGTACGCCATTGTTTTTTTTTTCGGAACGCGCAAATTTTCGATTTTACCTTCAATTTGCCACGAACAATTACTCTTGTATTTTTTCCTAGAGTGCATTATTTTCGTAAAAATGAAAAAAAAACAAATTAGCTAATCAAAGTATTATTTCAATAAATGTTCAAAAATACCACCATTCTGACGGATACAAGTACGGCATCTTTTTAATAATGAAAAACGTATTTCCGCAAAATTTGCTGTGGCTTGAATTTGATAGCATATACTAGTTGTTTAGAAGCGCCCCACAAAAAGAAATCCAGGTGGTTCAAATCAGGCGACCTCGCAGGCCAATGTACGCGTCCGTCTCTGCCAATCCATCGTTGTCTATAATGATTATTTAACCATGCGGTTATGACACGACGAACATGCGGTGAAGCACCGTCGTGCTGATACCACATTCATGCTCTCGTTGCTAGCGGAACATCATCTAACACATTTCCTATGAAATTCTCAAGAAAATTATGAGTTTGCATTTAATCGTTGTGGCAATGCGTGTTATAAACAGTCAATGAAAATCGATAAGATTATCCGATTATAGCCCTCCAGCGTTTTTACGATACAATTAAATGCTTTGCCACATCTTTAGAAGGACATTCCAGGAAAACGATATTTATACTGACCAAACGAACTTGCAGCTTATGAATTAATTATGAGTAAAGAGTCGTTGGCCATAAAAAGTAGATTTCTGGAAAACTGATCCTAAGCAACAAATAGTTCGCCTATTTTACGTATATTGAAGTGTGAAGTATGTACTGGGAGCATTATTTTCCGATGGGTATCATATGTAACCCCCGAAAGCCGTTGGATTCTAAGAAAACCCTTAATGAACCACCGCGGTCCATTATATTACAAACACTAGAGTTAGGCTGTGCCTATCCAGTTGTTCTAACGAATTTTATATGCATAAACATGAATAATGACTACACGAAAGCTAAGCTAAGCTCTCATTTTACCCGATTCAAGTGTGACAAATTTTGTATTTTTCAATTTCCTTCAAATTACAGAGCGAGTGCAGGATTTAAAACAGGTAGGGGATGCAAAAGAATAGTTGGAATAATCGTCAAACTCCACCAAAATAAGCTTCACAGCTTTTTCTCTATTTTCTGCACCACTTTTCTGATAGCGCTTTGGGGTCAGAAAGAGCAACGGCTCCCCTTTTCTCGCCTCGGCTATTAAGTTACGATGACGAGTAAAAATTTTTGTCGAATTTCGATTATCATGTGACGGTGATGAAAGAGTTGGTAATGAAATGAGAGATTCATCAATAAATCTTAGATAAGTAATTGCAAAATAAATTAACATAACCGATGCATATTTTAAAAAAAAATCGATACTTTGAAGTAAGATGTCTCACCCAGAAATATCACAGAAGCAGGACTCATCGTACGTGTATAATCCTACTAATTATACTGTTTGTGTAAAACTGATCATTATCATCTTTAGTGTGCCAGTATCAGTCCATTTATCAAATTAGAGGATGAGTATGAAAATATAAACGAATCATTGATAAGATTATAAATTTGAATACCAGGTTTGCCATTTCTCATCTATGGTAAAAAACACGTACATAACTGTTCACTGAATGGTCCTTTGTGTAGACGAAATTTGAAAAACACAGTTATTAGCCTCGCGTCTTGCCTAGAGCTGGGACAAATGGTTGTTTTAGGTGATTCGATTCAATGGTTTTGATCCTGGCCTGTCATAACACATCCAAAAAATGGCGTCAGGTAGGCTGACTCACATAAAGGGAATCTGTAATGCTAAGCTTGTAGCCCCATCCCTGGGATATACTCCGAACTTTTTATAGAGTCTATACGAACTGTTATAAAACCCTTTAAAAATATAGAATACCTTTGGGCTTCCCCCTTACACTGTGGAGCTAAATTTGATTTGAATATTCAAATGATACAAGATATTTTAAGTAAAATGAGGCTCAACCTAATTTTATTTCTAAAATGTTTATTTTTTTAATACAATACATAAAAATACCTGTTATTCAAGTTGTTTGTAATCTAAAAATAATCGGTATTACCGATGTACCGTGTAAATTTACAATTGGCAATTTCTCTACATGAGTTTCGGGACTATCTAAACATTTTCCGAAACCATACCTAAAAAAAGAATTGAATTTCATTATTTTTATGCTAGGTAAATTTTTCCAAAGATTGTGCAAACCGTAAATACTGTCAAAGTTTTTAGGACACCAAAATATTCGAATCATTTAATCCTGATTATTCGCCGATTACACAGTGCATCTACCTGATTTATATACATATGTGATAAAAGTTATTACTTACTTGAAGATTGAAGTTCAGGAAGATGTAATGTGAGGCAAGCAGTTCATTTCAGGCCTCTCTTCGTTCCAGGCACTTTATCACGCACCACATGTCCTATATAAATTTATTCGTGACTTTTATTGTCCAAAACTGGATTTCGCTCTTGCTGGATCCATTTGTTAAAAAGAGCGACAACATATTTCGGAAATGTGTGCCTTTTACTGATTGTATCAGTACAACCAGGCACCACGCACACTTTAAATCTCCGCTTTCGATAAACCTCCATTACAAAGATTAAGTTTGTAAGTTTAAATTCAGTTTAACGCTCATTAGATATCAGTATCACCGACACAACACTAATAAAAACGCCGGCACCGCACAAAATTCAACTTTCGATTAAAAATTACGAATACATCAACGTCAAAGCATAGGACATTGGAATTTCAAAAAGAGCAATGGGAAAATCCAGCATCAGCGCCACTCTGTGGTTGTACTCCGTACTAACTATATAAGATTCTTTGGTTACCTACCAAACATACCTTCAAAGTCACTCATTTAACTTTCTTTTATAAAGTAGGTGTTATATGGGTTGACTCCTGCGTTTCCTGCGCAACGCCATCATCAGTTCAAAAAGGATTAAGTTAAACCCTCTGAGAAAAAAATTAGTTACTAACATGTACCAGAGATAAATTAAACGGAACAAGTCTGTCAAACAGGCCCATACAATTGGTCCATAGACATTCTATCCGTGCCCTATCGGTAGTTACCGTCCTTCTGGCAACGTCGCCACTTCACATATCGTAAGACATAGCAGCACTCACCGAAGCACCGCCGCAGCCGCAGTACGAGCAGATAGCTGAAGGAGACGCGTATCGAACACATTTCTGTATCATTCATAGTTTTAAAGACAAAAATGTAAGTTATGGTATCCTTAAAGCATTAACACCATCTAAATCCCTACGAGTATAACACCGTCCCATACTCGTGAGACAGGATGTGATGTTTGCATTTTTACCCGAGACTACTGATTTCTGGAAAATTCGTAAGTGTAATCTTATAATATACAAAGGGTCTTTGACCATTCTCTGTACTCATTTCGTTACTTGTTCTTCTGTTCTCAACTGTTGCTGATGTCTCAATAAAAGTTGGTCTACAAAAGTTACTGAAGTATTTCTCTAACATCATTTGGCGATTATAAGAGAAATAGGAACGCGAGTGATAATTCCTCAGTGCAATCAATCACCCACGATCCACACGTATTTAATTTGTACGGGAAAACCTTTGATGTATGGATTTGTGAAATATGGCTTATAGTTGCGTAGATTTCCTGCAGGCTCTCTTGGAGTCAGCCCCCGAGGAGTTCTGAGTTTGCGTCAGTAAGCCATATCTTTCTGTTTCAATGTCTCCTGTAGATGATGATGGACTGTGAGATGGTGAAGAAATTCTATTAACAATAGGTGATTCTGATAAACTATTGCGCATGGTGCTGGAAGATCAACCTTTTTTGTGTTTGGCATCGGATGGTGGTTACTGTGGAGCCTATCCTGGTGGTCCAACCTGTAGGGACGTGTGTAAAACATGCGAATTAGTTGAGTGCAGTAAGGAGTACCTCAAAGAAGCGGCTCGCAGGCGGCAAAGAGTTAGATTCGACACCACAGAGGAGAACAGCAAACTTCAACAAGCTACGAGGTCTGCACATTAAGTGGTGATACTCATTTTTTATTTTTTTTTTCATTCAAATATAAATGAAATTTCATATTATCACCCTCAAACTAACTTCCTTATAAAGCCACACAGCGCTGGAGACGGTTCTTCCACTCCACATAGCAGTGCTGGAACTCCGATTCTCGAATAGCCTTCAGCTGGTCGGTTACAGCCGGTTGAACGTTTTCGACTGTCCCAAAATGAGTTCCCTTGAGCTGAGTTTTCAACTTAGGGAATAGAAAAAAGTCACAAGGACTCAAATCAGACGAATAATTAATGTGATGAACGGTAGTGTGATTCAAATTTAACTCTTCCCCGTCAATTCAGACTGTCATCCGACGGTCTGAACACACAAGATCCCAGATTCTATCGATGTTTTCACCGGTTCTTGAAGATAAAGGACTTCCGCTTCGTGGTTCATCTTCAATCTACTTTCTCCCTTCTGAAAATGCCTTAGGCCACCGAAAAACCTGGGCTCTTGACAAAACATTACCTCCGTAGACCCGTTTAGCAAGAGTTTCCGTTGTACTGTGCCCAAATGACTCGAGCGAGTTCAAGCGAAGGCGGATCACATGTTCGCCTGTCTCCCCTTCAAGCTAGGCGTCTTCAATGTTGCCAGATCGAAAGCTACGTTGCCAGTCTCATCACTTAAATTACATACTTCTTGACACAAAAGCTGCACATGCCAATCTGTCGTGTCTGGAGCCTCCTGAGGATGTTTGCGGGGGGAGGGGTACTGGGAGCATCTTCTATGATGACTTTGTAGACCATGGTAGTGACCACACGGACAACTGCGCGACAGAAATGTGGCTGGAGCAGTCTCCGTAAAGAACAACCCAGAAATAAACATGTACCGTAAGAGTATTCACTATGTTTCGTCTTAAGACGAGAACATATTTTCGTTTTAAGGGGAAATATACCGAGAAATCTATGTGAAATATGTCCAATAGGTGCCTAGAATTATCGAGGTTGGAAGTGAATTAATATTCTAACATCAAAAAATTACGATACACCCCAATTTTTACCCCTAAATTGTTTTCCAAGTATGGTCAGCGCACTCTGAAGCGTCAAAATTGAAGTTTGAATGGTTTTTATTTTGTCATCACAATCCAGGGAGGTAGTTCTCAAGTTATAGACGCGCCATGCATTACCGGACTGACCGACAAACAGGTAGTCAAACACCCAAAAAACATAATATCTCATTTTAGAAATTTTTCACGATTTCAATACTTCCTCGCCCAGTTGCGTAGGAAATAAAAATCATAATACATACCTCATTATCAAACATTTTCGCGATCACAATACTTCCTCGCCTTCTCCAGGCCTACTGGGAAGTAAAAATACGAGTAAGTGGATGGAGGTCCAATGATCTTGGTGGCAATGAAATTTGGCCGAGGCGACAGATCCACCTTTATGAATGTTTGTGAAGTGGCCTCGGTTTGGCTGTGGGATATGACGCAGTATCGCCATCTTCCGGTAAATGTCTCATTTACACCCATCTCAGAATATTAACACGACAGAGCTATTTCTTTTTACTTGGGATGTAAACCCGTTTGTAACTACTTTTTGATAACTGATTATAATAGCACTTGTTGTGTACTTTGAACCCTGAGAAACACATCAACGCACCTCTTCAACTTTTATTGAAGAAATGTTTTCATAGATTTCAAGGAGTGACGCGCACCGTACACGACAGGCTTCTTTCTTAGGAGCTGGGGTATAAACCCGCTTGTCACTACTTTTTGATAACTCATTATAATAGCTCTTCTTGTGTACTTTGACCCTGAAAAAGACATCAACACACCTCTTCAACTTTACATGAAATAGTTTTTTTCCTAGATTTCAGGGAGTAGCGTGCACCCTACACGACAAGCTTCTTTCTTTGGACCTGGAGTGTAAAGCCGTTTGTCACTACTTTTTGATAACCGGCTATAATAGCTCTAGGCTATACACAGCTCTTCAACTTTACATGAATAAAATTTTTTCCTAGGTTTCAGGAGTAGCGCAAACTGTACACGGCATGCTTCTTTCTTTCTAGCTAGGGTGTAAAACCGTTTATCACTACTTTTTAATAACTGATTATAATAGCACTTGTTGTGTACTTTGAACCCTGGAAACACATCAACGCACCTCTCCAACTTTTATTGAAAAAAATGTTTTCATAAATTTCAAGGAGTGAAGCGCACCGTACACGACAGGCTTCTTTCTTTGGACCTGGGGTGTAAAACCGTTCGTCACTACTTTCTGATAACCGATTATAATAGCTCTTGTTGTGTACTTTGACCCTGAAAAACACACTAACTCACACCTTCAACTTTTCATGAAAAAAATGTTTTCCAGCATTTAGCGAGTAGCGCGCAACATACATGACAGACAGGCTTCTTTCTTTGGACCTGGGGTGTAAAACCGTTCGGCACTACTTTTTGATAACCGATTATAATAGCACTTGTAGTGTACTTTGAACTCTGAAAAACACATCAACACACCTATTCAACTTTTCATGAAAAAAAAAATGTTTTCTAGATTTGATTGCAATGTTTTTCTGGATATAAATTTTGTCTTTGCGCAAGA